TCTTGGAGCCAGGGGCCTTTGCCCAGCTGACTTAAGGGCCCCACACAGTTAACTACCTGCAAGACAGATGGCGCCTGAACAGAACAGCAAATACACTGAATAAAATAAATTACACAGCCTCCTCCCGAACCAAGATTTTTTTTGGAAAGAATTCTAAATAGATGAAAACAAACAATTTGATTTCAACCAAATTGTTGTTTTTTTGTTTTTATCCTGATTTTCACCCGAATTGTCAGTCTCAAAAATAAACACTGATACATTCCCAGAAAATATTTTTCAAATAAAAACTGACTCTGTTAAAGTTTGCCCTGATTCTTTCAAAACTGTGTACGAGACACTGTCAACCAAAGTGACTTGCATATTTTTTTAAATAAACTTGAACATATGCAGCTAAAATGTCATTAACTCCCTGCTGCCTGTGTGTTTTTAGAGAATGACATAAGACCCGAGGTGCTGCATTTCTGACATAAGGGTCTTACGACCCTCAGAGAAACTTCCTCGAGCCCCTGAGACGGCAGACGGCTTGACGTTGTTTTCCCAACTTAGTGCCCTATGTGTAATTAGTGCTGCAAGCACACCGCTCTCCTCCTCACCGTTCGTTTTGTCCAAGAGAATACTTTCAGAGTAAGAATAGTGGAAGAGAAATGAGTGGAATTTCATATTGCTTCAGATACGTTCACTCCACTATTGCTTCCTGAGTTAGGCATTACATTTTGCAATATAAATTCACAATCAAGATTTTAAAGGGAGCTAAATATTTTAATCCAATTAGACAAGTGAACAAAACACTGAATATTGCATGTAGTGTAGATAAGTGGTTCTTGCCTTTAAAAGACTGTAATTCCATCACATCACAACCCCAAATGTCAATGTTGTCTTCATTTCTAACGCTTTCAAACATGAGGCAGCCAGAGGCTCTACTCTCTGCTGTTGGTGACACTGTCTGTCCTTTGGGAATTCTTAAAAATCTATTTACCATGGAAACATGGTTCACATAAAACAGACACCTTCCATGTGCAGAGGAAGTGCTGGGGACTTATGGGACTCGGGAGGACTGGAGCCGCCAGGATCCCACGCTGTGTGATGGAGCCCGGTGGGTGCCAGGGCTCTGGGCAGGAGAGACTCCAGGCCACTGATGGCTGGTCCTGCAGGGTGCTGGCGTGCAGAGGGCCCTGTCTGCCTCGCTACTACTCTGCCCACTACCCTGTGGTCCTTGCAGCGGGGCCGCAGGCAGTGACCTTGCCTTTGCAGTAGGCAACAGCAGAGTCCCTGGAGGCCTGCATCAGGGCCTAGGCAGGAGTTGGGTGGCTGGAGTTGTGGCAGCCACAGGCTAGTGGGGAAGGCATCCTGCCCCAGCTGTGGACCTGCAGGGCAGGGTCGAGGACACCTCTTCCCACCCCCCAGGGCCGGCCATCCCCATGGCCCTTGCCAGCCACGGAGCCCGTGGTGGTGGGTCAGGAGGCCGCCTGGCTCCGGTCTGCTCCACTCTTCATGCGGGCATAGGAACTGGCTGGCAGCCACTTGGACGGACGGATGGTTAGGCCCCGACATGGAGCCTGTGCCAGGGGCCTGACCACCTATGTGAGAGAGAGAAGCATCTGTGACCCAGGACAGGCCACAGGATGTGGTTGGCTGGTGCTGTCACCTCAGGGTGAACTGGGGACCCTGGGTGGAGTGCTGCCCTCTGGTTCAGAATGGCTACCTATTGCAGCGGCTAAAGGATCAGCGGCCTTGACCTGGCCACCAATACCTGGTGTGCAAATGAGCATGGAGGGGACCCGGATGTGGAAGGGCTGCGGGGAGGTTGGGGACACCTGGTGATAGGCTGCAGGGGAGAGGGAGGACTTGGCCCACCAGAGCAGGTCACACTGAAGCCTAGAGATGGAGGAGAACAGACTGTGTGGAGAGAGAGGCCGGGTGGGGCCATTCAGGCCTGCAGGAGAACCGGGGTTCAGGGAGCCACCACCAAGGCCATGGGGTGGCCTCTGGTCACATAGTGGCCTCACACCCAGGAAGCATGAGGATGGGAAGATGGTGGCCACAGTTCCAGTGGCTCACGTCCCCCTGGGTGTGCTCGTCTCCTCTGGGTAGCATTACAGACGGCCCTGAAGGGAGGTGGGAGGTGGGCTGGGACACCACGACGGTGATGGGGCCCACAGGCCAGCGGACAGACGGATGGTTGCAGCCTCTGGCCACCACCACCAGCTGCTTGTCAAGGGTCGGGGCCGTCACGGGCTCTGGGGTCGAGGGGTGTGATGTGAAAGTGATGGTAAGTGGAGGCCCCGCCAAAGCAGATGCAGTGTCACCTGGTCCGTTAGCTCCCGCTGAGGCCCTTGCGTGTGCTCTGCGGGTGGAGGCCATGGCTCAGCAGCATGGTCTGGTGATGACCACGGCGAGTTAGCTGGTGGCCTTGCGCCCTAGCTGGGACACTAGGAGAGGGCGCTTCCTGGCGCCGAGCTAAAACCCGTGCCTTCACCGCCTCAGGCCCGTGTCAAGGCCCTGTGCTGTGCTGGGGAGTGGGTCACCTGCGGGTCATGCTTAGCCCAGGCGCTTAGGTGGGAAGTGGCCCAGATGAGGCACCTGGGGGTGGTGGTGGAGGAGGAAGAAAGGGAGAGGAAGGGGAGGACGAGACGGCTGTCATCACCCCCCTGCCACAGTGGCCCTGCTCCTGCAGCCCCTGCTCAGTGAGCCTCTGCTGGGCTTTGTGCAGGGCAGATTCCAGGGTCCATCAGGCAGGCCGAAGTCTTACCTTGGCCCTGTTGGAACCCAGGCTGTCCACGCTCACTGACGTCGGCACTGTGCCACCTACAGAAACACCATGGAGCCGCCCCTGCTTTCAGAGCTACTCCCAGAGCTCCCTGTGAGCTGAGTTCAGTTTTGCTCACTGCCTGGATTTCAAGTCCCCTAGTAACCATGGCTTAGACTGGGTTGGATTCCAGCTCAGGCCATCCAGATGCAGCGCGAGTGACCCTTCCTGAGGATGCCTCGAGAGGCTGGATCCGGCCACTTGCCTGTGGAAGTGGAAAGTGGCACTTACTTGGCTCTCCTGAGGCTCGGCTGCTCGGTGCTATCTGTGGTGTGGCCACCTCCGCCAGGTGTGGCTTAGTGAGCAGCGGCTTTGGTGGAGCAGCACCAGTACCAGGCACTTTCCCAGCCTGCCTTTTGACCCAGCCCAACTTGCCCAAATAGTTTTGAAAAGTTTGTCTGCTTAACGCTGAGCGCCCAGTGTACCAGACTCCCCGCTCGTGCCTGAGGGGTTTCCCTGTGAAAACGTCTCTAGCTGTGCTACGGCCAGTTGGCTGCAGTGAAGAATTTGTTTGGGCATGGATCACTTCACAGGAACTGGGGGCTCTTAGCCTCATCCCGTTTCTGTCCCACCTCTACCCACTGTAACAGCAGAGTTGTTTCTAGCGAACACATCCTGGCACAAGCCAGCGCCTTGGGTCGGGGTGTCCTAGTTAAAGGCACACGTGCGCCTGGCGTACAGGCTGCTTTCAGATTGAAATCATTCAAACGAGACCGTCAACCTTACTACATTCATGTACAAGGGCTTGGATCTCTGCTCCGGGTGAGGCTCGAACTTTTCACACAGCTGATTACGTATAATTCATGTAGTTTCCACATTTTTAACAACAGGATTTTTTCTTTAAACCAGAAAATGAGAAGACAAGTACCCATGATCTAGTTAAACTTACTTTTTATTCTCATTTTTTTCCAGTTACCCAGCATGCCACAATCTGATTGCTGACCTGGATGAAACAGTGAAATAAATGATTTACAAAGATGTATTTACACTCATCTGATTTGTACTCAATATGCACAGGCAACCTTCCCAGGGTGACACAGCCTCAGACTGCATGGGGCGTCCTCATGCTGCTGGTTTCTGGCACTGTGGAGGGGCTAGAGCTGAAGTCTGAGCCCCGATGAGGACAGCTCCCGAAGGACGTGCTCAGACATGGCTTGGAGTGACTGTTTTTGAGTCTGCTCCTTTGTATGCTGTTAGAGGAATTGTAATAAATGACCTTTTTAAGACCTGAACTGTAATGTGTCCTTTTTATCTAGTAGCAGTGACAAGCAACACACCAAAAAGGCACACAGTTTAACTTGGCAAAGTGTTATTATGGACCACACTATTCTCCTGTCTTCGTTTTTCTTTCCCTTTTGGTGCTCTTTTGATCAATCTGTTATCTTTTATCTTTAATCAACACCCAGTATTTATTATCCTATTAACATGTGCACATTCAGGAGACACCAGGAAACACTATGCATTATTCTTTCCTTTCTGCGAACATCAAAAACAGACCAAACAGACCAAAAAAAAAAAAAAAAAATCTTTGGCTCAATGGTGTCAGATTTTTTTCTTCAATAGCAGTATTTGATAAGAGCCCAAAATTAGGAAATTTAAAGGTCTATGAGACATCTGTACACAGATCATTACTTTTAAAATAGTATTTCTACAGTCAAGCCCTCAAATGCTTTAAAGAATTAAAAATGACACTGCGAGGCCCGAGGCGTAGCAGTGGTGAGCATTTGCCTAGCATGGGCAAGGCCCTGGGCTCTAGCCCCAGCACCACCAAAAAACAAAAATGACACTGCAATGTGTGTTTGTACTTGGGGATGACTGACGGTGGAACGCTGAGGGCCGGGATGCAGGGTGGGCCAAGCCTGACCTGACGCTGTGCTCCCCGGCCAGCCACCCAGTAGCTGAACCCCAGTTCAGCAGAGCTGCTGGGTCAACTCTGGGCCTTGCCCGCTCAGTCACAGGACTAGGCTTTGACACTGGTGGCATGGGCCACACAGACCCTCTCATCTCTGCAGCACCTCCCAGTCAAGACTGGCACAGCAATGCTTTATCAGTCAGGCTTCGATCACATCCAGTGTGCTAGACGTAAAGGCTGTCACGTAAGATAGTAACTGTCCTTAGTTCTGGTTTAGTTACACCGTGATTAAATTGCACAATATTCTAAAAATAGCACCTTTAAAGAATTATAGAGGTCACTTTATATCAGCCTTCTGGATCTGTCAACCCCAGTGATTTTGAGAAGAGTACTTGTAACTATGTTCCCAAGTTTGGCTATGTGACATATACATGCACGCCTGACTCTGGTCCCAAAAGCCATTCATTCCTCTCTCTGGCTGAGTCACAGGAGCAGAGCCAAGTTCTACAACGTAGCTTTATGAGGTAAAATCAGAGAAAGGCCCCATCCAAAATGATGCAATGTAAATGACGTTCTGCCCCTCTACAAGCCATTTCTAGGCTCACAAACTGTCACGAAGTAGTCAAAGGACACTCAAAAGCAGGAAGTGTGCAGAGCAGCACGTTATCAGGAAGACGTTAGTGGTGAGCTGCATCCCACGGGGTTGGGAAAAGCCTGAGGGTCTGACGCCTGCTCTGTCCCTGGCTTCCCACAGACGGGTCTCGAAGCCCACCACCAGGAGCGCAGCACCTCCCCTCGGAAGCAGCCCTGCATCGAGGTTTGCACGACAACGCTCTTGCCATTTTCCTGCGTGTCTTGAGCTAAGAGGTCACACAGTTTGCTGTTATATCTTCTATAGGGTAGGTTAATACCAGGTCGGGCTATTAAAAACCTTTCTTTCCCAGAAAAGAACGGGATTTAATTTTCTGAGATTACAGAACCACATCCAACAACAACAAACAGAGCAGTAGCAGATTGACATAGTGCTTTATTTAAGCCGTCTGTACGAAGGAGAATAATGTGCGTCCCTATCGTATACGTGTAAAAATACTAAGGACGTACAGTGTACAAAACAGTTTCTTGTAGGTATTTCACATCCTTGCGGGTCATATGCTTAAGGAAATGAACAGTTTTAGTGGGGCCGACAGTAATAGTAGTACAGTTTCTTGGGTTCATAGTTGCGTCTGCTTAAAATCCTTAACCAGATGACTAGATCTTGCGCGGATCTAATGAAAGAACTTGCAAGGTCAAGAAATGTCACAAACTATAAAGCTACAGGAAGGTAATTCAATTACCAATTTAGAGGTTTTCTTTTTATTTAAATAAATACTTTACATTGCATGCTTGCCTGTAACGCACTACCAGGAGCAAGATAGGGAAACTCTACTGTTGACAGTACAAACGGTAGCAGCAAGAGTGTGCACTGAGGTGTGCTGTATAGACCCTGCAGTTAGTGAGGAAGGCCCTTACTTTGTACTCTAGAAGCAAGTGGCCCTGCAAGAACAGTCAGCTTGAAGAAGCTGGAACTCAGGTAAGGGAATGGACACAATACTGGAATGACGCTATGTAATATAGTGCAGAAAGCCAAGCGGTGAGCAACCTGCCCACAATCCAAGCGCAACTGGCCAATTTCCTTCAAGATGGCTGCATTATGACAAGAACTCAAACTTCACAACAGTTAGCATTAGCTGGAGTCTGCAAAGTCAGAATTGTATTTGGATAGGATGACTTCCCACCTCCAGAATCCAGAACTACAGCTATGGGCAACACGGGGAAGTTTCAGAATCTCCCTCTCCACACCTCTGCGTGTGTCCTACCCCATGCCACTGAGTGAGACCTGGGAGCGAAGGAAGGGAACCTCAAAATCCAAAGCAAAGAACACACCTGTGTGACACTGAGGGAGCCTTGGAAGGATCACTGAGCCCTGAGCGTGGCTGGGAACGGAGGGCCAGCTGTGAGCGTGGCCAGCCTGAGGCACTGTCAGCCCCATCATTAATCTTTAGGAAGTATCCTTGGCCAAGGTCATGGAAATCACGGTAAGAGTTGGGGAAAAAAACAAAACAACAAAAAGCTGTGTGCTTAATGAACAGTGTCATGCTTCCCTCTGAGGGGACAAATTCTCTGCCAGCCTCAGCTTCTATCTCCTCTCACACATTTCTGTCTTACATAATGGGTGCAAGACAACGTAAGAGGATATACCATCCAGTCTCCCTTCTTGTCAACATGAAACATACACACAATTCCAAGAGCAGCAAAAGTCAGGCTGCAGATTCCAGAGTGGACCTCCATTTACCGAGACTTCCTACTTAATGCTAAGGCCCCACTCCCCAGGGTACAAGTTTGAGGAGTAAAGATAAAGCGTATGTCTGAGCGTGTCTTAGCTGCCTTAGTAAAATGCCCTCTATCCCCGTCAGTCCCAGTGGCCGCCCACCGCCAGCAGTGGTTCTAGAGCTGTGAGTCCTCGCTTCAGCGCCAAGAGGCTAAGACACCTACACGTGAACGTGATTCATCCTGCTCAGAAAGTCGCTTGCTCTCTCACACAGTGCAGTGCCAAGGCTGTCATGCTGCAGGCCTCCGTGGGGGCTGTCAGGTAGTTGACCAGAGCACACTTCCATGGCCACTCTGTGGGGCAGAAGCCCCTGCCTGCCGCAGGAAAGGCCCTGCCCCCTGGACTTCAGTCTGCTTTGGAAAATGTCAGCTCCTAGCACCAAAGGGTTTAATCTGAAGATCATCATTAGTGACAGAGAAAGATGAGGTTTGCATCCATGTCCCTTGCAGTGAGGAATGTTGGGGTTTGGGGACATGAAGTATGTACAGAAAAAGAAAAGCTACAGGTGTTCCTTTGTGTTGTTTTGTTTTCCCTGATGGCTTAATTCACTGATGAATGGGCCTTGATCAGAATAAACACACCAGCCTCTTACCCTTTAGAGCCTACGTCATAAACACTCGTGATGTGTTCATTTTGTCAAGTTCATTTCATATCATCATTCAGGGGTGAATTTTCTTCACTACCATACACTGGCAGGCTGTCCTGACATTTCAGTTCTCAAGGAAGCAAGCATCAACATGGATTTGTTTCACCAACCCCTGGGCACGGAGAGTCGGGGTCTCCTCGTTTCAGCACCAAGGGGTTAAATGATGGCATATCTCTCTCCCAAAGCCAAATTCTAATCAATCTATACGATTTCAGAGCCTTACCACATTTTACATTGGAGAAAAAGTGCATGATTCTCATTGGTGTGTACATTCTTTGCATATGGGTCAAAAGAAACTGCAGGAAGTCTGTTCCATTTTGCATTTGCTAACATGACATACAATTCTCACCACTAAAAAATAAATACTACTGCAACATAAACGAAGTCATAAAACGACATTCCAAGTTGTAACATCTGAGAAAAAGCTAATTCACCTAGAACTGAAAGTAACATAGTAAAACTAGTAAGGCAAACACCTGTTCACCTTGGTGTAGGATTTTGGTGAAAGCAGGATCATACACTGTCTACATTCTTCAGCCATTACAGGTGATGAATATCAAGAAGGAAAGGGCTGCCGAGCACAGGGAGAAAATGCTCTCTGAGGCAAAGTGTAGCCTAAAACCCTCTAGGTGACTTGACTTGACTGTGTCCAGAAACCTTCCGTTCTTGGTAGAACAATGTTCGTTTGCCCACGACTGCCCCTAAGTCTGGATGTCCATGTGACACCCAGTTTCCTCTGCAGTATCCAACCAGAATTATAAAATATATGTGGATCTCAATCGTCGTCCTGTCTTTTCAAATGCCTCCCAATGAGTCCAGGCCAAATCTTAGTGACACGCACTTACTTTCACCCTGATCGATCGGATATGCTCTGCTAACCCCTCACATATGCACATCAGCGCCCTTCCACAATTGCTTGTTTTGAAATATGAACTAAATCTTGTTTGTCTAATTGGTTCTTGATTTATCTTCTAGAAGGTTACAAAATGTATCTAGACTCAGTGTATCTCATTTTAGCCTTCACTGCTAGGGAAAAACAAAACTAAAAGATCAGAAGATGATCATTGGTGCACAAATGAACAGCGGGCTCATGACTTCCAAAGATTGTGAAATTACTTCTCAAAGTTGCTCTAAGAGTAAGACAGTAGCAGCAACCGCGTGAGACCTTAGACTGAGATACAATTCCATGCAAAAAGAAAACCTGAAGCATGTTCATGTGTGTTTCAATGTGGGTGAAGACGCTGGGCTGGGATGTCGGAAGGTGCCCTGCTGCTTTTGCAAGCAAGGACTGTAGTGATGTCTGGGAATCTTTTCAGTAATAAGTCTACGATGCCAGTGAAGCAGCAGAATGAAGAATACCTATTCTCGTCCACTTGCGGAGTAGGAGAACTGAGGGAAGTGCGGCCGCCTCTCGTTGTCCACGCAGTCCATGCCATCCTCGTCATCTGCGGGTAGCAAATAGTCTCTTAATTTTACATTCACTTTTTACAACGTATCTCTGCTCTGCAACTTTTAACTACTGACATAAGAAAGATTAACAGAGGCAATAGCTCCCATAAGCTTGTGCTTATAAAACACAGTAATTATTCTTTAAAAATTGTGTGATTTTCACAAACAGGATCCATGAAGAAATACTATAAAATCATCTCGAGGACATCAAATTTTCAAGACTCAATGAAATCATGAAAAAAATACTACTAAAAAAAGCAGAATGTTTATCTTCAATAACCTTTCATTTCAGGAAACCATGTATGTCTAAATTATAGGAGTTAAGGAATTCTATAGAACCCAAAATGTCTACACAGAATCCATTAGCACATCTTCAAGTACTTGTATTTTTTCTTCCTGGTGCTCTAGATGTGATTACAAAATAAAGCTTCCTAGGCAATTTTATTCAATGCCTAATATCTGCCTTAACTCACTGTTCTGAATTTTCCTATATAACTTTAAACTAGAATAAAGAAACTAAGACAAAAAATAAGAGAAAAAGGTGGCATGGAACCCTATTTCATCAGGAAACACAGAAGGTTCCGGACAAAGACAAGGCTGCTCACACCAAGCTCCTTCCTTCTTTCTGCCCAGTTCCTGGTATGTCGAGTATCACATAGGACCACACTGCCTCTTCCCACAAATGTTCTGTGATGAGAACCCACAGGGCAGAAATTCTTCCTGGATGGGGCCCATGTCTGATCACTCCCTGTGAACCACGAAAGCCTGTGGCTGGCAGAGCTCTGAGCTGAGTCCCAGAGAGCCAGGCTCACTGTCCAGCAGGGCATGTCCATCCCAAGCCTCCCTCCCTTGTTCTGCTCCAAGCTCCTTCTCACGTGCTATCCTGCTGCCTGGACTGACCAAGGCAACTTTCTTTACATGAAATCCTTCTGTCTCCTCAAATTCCCAGAAGAGGTGTGTTACCAATTCTTTTCATTTCCAGTGTCTCCAGGGAGCATCAATTTCATGTCATGAGAGCAAGAACAGAGGGCGACCCTGCTCTGCACGGACCTTGTCCCCCACAGAGAAGGGTGCTTTCCTTCCATCAGAAGAACAAACAATTGTGTTCTTTCTCACTGCTCTTCTTTTTAGTATCTTTTTGTTATGTAGAAGAGTCTCGCAAATGGTACTGAGTTGGCATTAACCAAAATTGTGACACTAATGTACTAGAAAACATCATGGTAGTGCGTGGGAATCAGTCTACCAGGACTGTGCAGGACCCTGAGTTCTGAGGTCTTCCTTTTGCAAACAGACCACTGCCTTGTGGCCACATTGCCAGGAGGTCTTAAGGCTCAGGAAAGCCTCTGCCTCCTTAACACTCTGGTTCAGGACCAAGCCAGGCACTTGCACCTTTTGGATCAGATACTTTGAAGAGTATTTTTAACTACATGAAAGGGAGGGGGAACAGAGGGATCCACGGTTGAGTCAGAGTGTCAACACTCTCTGGAGAAAAGGCAGCTCAAGTCTTCATGCTCAGATTGTGTCACGTGCCAACCACGTTTCAAAGAAACAGCTTTCCCCACTGTCAGCTTTGCTTGCTGAGTGCTTCTGCACAGCAAAGGTGCAGTGAGCCTAGATAACACGGTGGGAAGCCCAGTGCACGTACCCCTCAGCTAGGGGCAGTGGCCATCCTGGATGTGACCTGGCCTTTGTCCAGGGCCTGGACTTGCTACAGGGCAGGTGCTGGCTTCATTTTGGAGGAGGAGTTAACTGCTGGATATCAGCTGAGAATGAGGGCAGCCTTCACTGTCACTTCAGCAACAGTCACGCTTCTGAATGTGAACAAATCTAAACACAGATAACCTATAAGGGCTCTGCACCCTCACATTCTTTAAAGCCACTGATATCCCTGTCTGTACTCTCAAGCTAGGTAACAGGGCGGTGATCCAACTGGACAGCAGCTGGGGCCAGAAGGCGGTGACTTCCCCCAGGACCCTTGGGCAGCGGTAGGAGGAAGCTGGGTGCCCAGTCAACATTGGTGAACAGTTTCTGAGGTGAAAGGCCCTCACAGGGACAGAGCTGACAAGGCACATAAGCTATACTGAGCCGCCAGTCCCTGCTGCATCTCTATCCCTGGGGCCAGGCAGCCTCAGGTGCCACTTTTCTTAACACATTTAATAAATGTAATTAGACAGCAGTAAAAGCAACTAAATCACATGGAAACTCTTTTCTATAGAGAAGGGTGGAAGACATGAATGGATGTAACGAAAGTCTGTTCAATTAATTAACACCAGTAAGGACAATCTGGTCTGCCACTGCAGCTGTCTGTAGAAAATGGAACATTTTGCTTTTCTTTCCTAACTGCTGATTAGTTCTGAAAAATAACTCCATTCTGTTCTATAAGAGCAAGGTGGCAAGTAGAAAGCGAAGTGTTAAGGAACAGTGCTCCTGTGGACTTATGAAGCTACCCTGCACGGGGAGCCATGAGCTCAGCTACATTTCAGACCAGCACCGTCCTCACAGTGGTCAGAAGAGATTGTGCTCCCAGCTCCAGGCTTCACTGGCTCTCTTATCTGCTCCTTAAGGAAACCTAGGATAGACCCTGGGACTGTAAAACTAGAACCCCTGCCCTTGGCAAAAGCTACAGTTTACAGCCACTATGGCTGCTGCCTGGGAGGGAGGCACTGAGAGACACTGAGTGGAGCTGAAGTGTTTGGGCACCAGGAGACTGCTGTAAGTCTGTCATCAGCATTTCCTCCTGAGAGACCTTGGATAGGGCAAGGCCACACTGCCTTCCATAAGCTATGACTACAGCTGGGCTTTGATGCTCATCTTGGAAATTATGACAGTGGTGGCATTCCTGTGCATCCCTGTTGTAATCTGGAAATGGAACTATAGTCCTTTAAAGACACTAAGGTTTATTCAGCATGAACCATGTCTAAAATTCTTTTAAGAACAGAGTTGCTGTTAGTGATGAAATGTGACACGTCAAAAAAACTCTTGATGGCTTTTCTGTTGTTGATTAATAAAGCTGAGAAAAGAAGTTCAAATTATGTTCTGGAAATAGTGCTGAGGGTCTGAAGGTACCTTCAATATTTCAGAAATTTTAGAAAGTGAGTGATAAGATGCACTCACACTGGGGCTGCAGCTCAGGTGAGGCACCTGCTCAGCATGCTTGTGGACCCGGGTTCTATCCTCAGGCTGGAAGAAAAATTTATACCAGAGGCAGATCTCGGTGGGACAACTGGCAGTGGGATTTGGAAATGGGGGAAAAGGCAGGTGAGATAAGTTGTTAAGATTTTCTGGTCCTTTCCTAGGGCCTCGATGCTCAAGTCAATCACAAAACAACTGACTAGCTATGGAGGTATGTATAACAGTTTCTAATTTACCTTGTTTATAGACAGGTAAAATGGTTTGTGAAAACTTCTGCCGTGGTCTTCCATTTTCTCATGTCATTCTGCGGTCAGCCCTTCCTTCCTACAGCTCCCTACCAATGCCTGTCCCTTTTAGCTAAGTATTGTTTGTACGGGGCTGGGAGAATTCCAGGTGCCTTTCCTGAAGAGGTGGCTTCTCCAGACCACAGCAGGATAAACCTTGAGTTCTAGACAGTATACAGTCTCTCCTTTTCCTGAAGACAGGGAGACCCACCACATCCCAGAGTCACAGGACATGAAGTAGTTCCCAGGGCTGAGTCCAGGGCTTTTTTGTCTTAAGGCTTCCTTTCTCTTTTAGCTCTCTAAAGTAAAATATCTCCTCCTTTTATGACTCTAAAATAACATGTTCAATTGTCCCAAAAAGAGAATACAAATGCCAAAGTCCTGTTTAAGGAAGGGAACTGTCTCAAAGAGGCTGAGGCCGAGGGAAGAGATATGTTAAGACTTTCCTATCAAGCTGGACATGGTGGCACATGCCTAATAATCCTGACTCACGATCCTCCTGAGGCAGGAGGATCGTGAGTTCGAAGCCAGCCTGGACTACATAGTGAGAACCACCCTTCCCTCCCCAATCAAAAAACGCCCTACAACAAAAAAGCAAGACCTTCCTATCCCAGTGTGTACTGTGGGCAAGCCAAACTAAGGAAGCCCAAACAGGCACAGCACTATTTGCTTGGCCCGGCCCTTGGGCTCCCCATTTCTGTGCATTCACTCATCTAGTGTGTGTTTAGTGAGCATCTGCACTGGGGCAGGTGTCTAGCTAAGACCTGGGACAAGCAGTGGTTAAAACACACCAGATTCTTCCCTTCACAAACTACTGTATTGTGGTGGCAGACATGGAAAACCAGTTGACCAGGAAAATACAGACAAGCAGGACGAGAATGTGTGTGGGGTGGGGTCAGGCTGCACTTCCTCGAACTGGGAGGTCAAAGGCTCCTCTCTGATGAAATGATACTGGGCTAAGAGCTGAATAATAAGGAGCCATTTATGCAAATACAGGGACAAAAAGCGTTCTAGGTAGAGGGAACAGTGAACATCAAAGTCCCACAGCACAGTGGGATGCCAAGTCCAAGGTGTGGCTGGCACACAGGGACAGTGAGTGAAATGGAACAGGAAGGGCCAAAGAGGTGGACAGGGCCCAGATGTTGCCAGGCTGTGCGAGCCAGTGGGACGGGTTTGGACAAGAGTGCAATGGGAAGCCACTGGAAGGGTTTAAGAGGAATGGCAGCCTGATTACAATTAGGATTCCACGCAAATGACAGAGCCAGCAACTGCCTTGGCCATCCCCTCTCTCACTGGAGCTGCCCAGCAGTTTGAATGGTTATAGTCCCTCATTACATGCTGTGGTCAGAGACCAAGATCCGTGGCCCTAGTTCCCACTTAGATAGCACTTAGCTACCTGCCAGCATTCAACAGGCGCTGGAACACTATTTGTAACTCTTAGTGACTCTGAAATTCCACTGATGGCATCAACACACTGACACGCCACAGCTTTGCCTGGGCAGCAGCCTGGTGGTGAGTCCTGCTCCTGGCTATGCTCACACTAACTATGAGGCCTTTACTGGGTTTAGCATCACTTCTACAATCAAAGTGAAGAGGGTCTTAACTTCCTGTGTGTGAAGAAAGAAAGGAAGGAGAAGTGTGCGCGTGCACACACGATTTTGTTTGGATTTCAGAATGCTCACAAGCCTTTGTTGCTAGACCACAAACCTCAGATCAGGGGCTTAGCAAGGATGACCGCTTGTCTGTGCTTTGACACTAAAATCCATTGACTGTGACCACGGCAAGAACAGCATTTCACTTCAGCCTTCCCTCTCATGGACGCTCAGTGCATGTGGGCACTACCAACCAATGAGCAGAGAAGAAATGTAGAAACAAAGGCAGAGGAGAGGACCAAGGCACTGACATGCCATTGTGTGTGCCCTCCTAAACTCACTCCTGAACAAGGTGCAGACCTCTGTCAGGATGACAGTGCTTATGTTCTAAGTGACAACCTTTCCTTCCATCAAAGCCCGTTATCCATGGCATTTATCAACGTTTGGGGCACACAGCAGTGTATCTGGAATGATTCTTTTTCCCGGTGGTACTGGAGTTTGGACTTAGGACTTCATGCTTTCTAGACAGACACTCTATCACTTGTACCATGCTGCCAACCCTAGCACAAAGCGCTGGTTATTTCTGAGATGGGGTCTTGCAAACTTTTTGCCAGTGCTGGCGTCAAACTATGATCCAACCATCTCAGCCTCCCAAGTACCTAGGATTACAGTATGAGCCACCAGCACCAGGCTGTATGTGGAATGATCTGAAGTGGTGCATGAACATATAGTTTAATAAATTTGTAATTTAACTTAAATGTAACAAAAATTAATAGGAAACTAAATTATGTCTTCTCAAACACTGCTGACTGAAAATGCTAATTTAAAAACAGCAGTTTGATTTACAATGAACTTAAAAGTTACTAAGGCAGGAGGAAAGCAAAGCTGGTGCAATTCTGAAGATGGCGTGGAGTGAGCAAGGTCTGACTCAGAATCCTTCAGCTGGCTTCAGATCTGCTGGAGCACAGCTAGGAAGGGCTGGGCACTCTGGAACTCAGTTTACAATTTTTCCCACCCAGAAAAGCTCTTCTTTGCAGTGACCTCTGGTGTTTCCACTTTGGAAACCCCATTTTTTTGGCAGAACTTGTTAGGCCAGCGCTTTTAACGATTGGGCCATGTCCCAGGCCTTTTTGTCTGCGGTCAGCCTCAGACCTGAATCTTCCTACCCTTGCCTTGGCTGGTATTATAATTGCACAGTGCTATGCCCAGCTTTGTTTGTTGAGGAGGGTCCTCGTTAACTTTTTGCCCAGACTGGCCTCAAACCATGATCCTCCCAATCATGGATTCCTGAGCAGCTGTTATTTACAAGCATGAGATACTGTGCCTGGCCTGGGAATTTCAAATTTTTAAATGGAATGGAATAAAAGTTACTGTGGAATTTGATCTTGAAAAAAGAAGAATGTGTTTTTCAATTATTTTAGAATGTTACCGGGTACCTTCTAGATTTACTTACATTTTTCAGGTGGTGTTATTGTAATAGTCTGAGCTGTGAATTCTTCATCAAAATATCTGGTATCGGTCTCAGATGTTACTTGAGGCTTGAAGGGAGGTACAAGCTGTAAGAAGAAAAGGAATAATGTTAACATATTTCGATTTAGGAAAATTAATTTGTAGAATAAAATTAGAGAGCAAATAGTGAAATAAACAGTATAATGACTAGAAGGCTGAGTCACTGTGTAAGAGAGACAGGTTCCCTGGTCAAGAGTCTAAGGATAGAACGGTGAGTTCTTGGTTGGTCCAGATGAAGTTTGAGAAGTTATGTGAAATGGAATAATGGAGGAAGTATGAAATAGGGTGGGAAGAGGATATTGAAAAATTGGTGCTAATTTTTCCTGATAGCAAGTATACCTGTGACACCATAGATGTCAACCACTGTGACAATAAATAGGTGGCTCTTCCTAGTGTAGTAAGAACACAGTCTTGCCAGTTGTCTTCCCTCCCTTCCTGACTTTAAGTGGTCAGTATTAAAAACACAACATATGGGCACAGAATGGTGGCTCATAACTGTAATCTCGGCTACTCAGGAGGTAGAGATCAGGAGAATCACAGTTCAAGGCTAGCATGGGCAAAAAAAAAAAAAAATTAAGGAAACTCCATCTCAATAATAAGCTGGGCATGCTGGTGCTATGTGGGAGGCACAGGTCAAAGTTCATGAAACCCACCTCCAAAGCAACCAGAGCACAAAGACTGGAGGTACAGCTTAAGCAGGGGAGTGCCTCCTTTGCGAGTGCCTGCTTTACAAGCATGAAGCCCTGAGTTCAAACATAAGACCCACAGAAATAGAAGAGTTAAAAGCATGTTTTCAAAACAGAGAACCACATCTGAATTTAAAGCTCATGTTACAAAGCATCTTTAAAGATTTTTTTCACTAACATAATTACTTGTGCAAACGGGGTTCGCTGTGATAGTTCCATACATGCAAATGATGTACTTCTGTCATAGTCACCCTGTCAACTTCTCCATCCCCTCTAGGTCCCCCTTTACCTTCATGCCATATATATTTATATGTAATTATGTATAAGTATACATATAAATAAAACTGTGCCTAGATTCCATATATGAAGGAAAAACATATTTGCAATATTTTTCTGAGTCTGGTTTATTTCCCATTTTCCTGCAAATGACAAAAAAAAATCATTCTTCTTCATGGCTGAGTAATACTCCATTGCACATGTATATCACACTTTCTTCATTCATTCAATGGCTAGTGGGTACCCAGGCTGATTCTACAGCGTGGCGACTATGAATAGTGCTACAATAAACCTGTTGCTGGATCCTATGGTAGCTCTACTTTTGGCTTTATGAGAAACTGCCACACTGATTTCCACAGTGGCTGCACTCATTTACATTCCCATCAGCAGTGAATAAGGGTTCCTTTTTCCCCTGCATCCTCACTAGCGTTTGTTGTTTTTTGTGATTCTGATGATGGTCATTCTGACTGGGGCGAGACGGAATCTCAGTGTCGCTTTAATTTGTATTTTCCTAAGGATGTTGAACGTTTGTGTATTTATTGACCATTTACAGAGCACTCTGGGCCTCTTCTTTTCTTCATTCTTTCTGTTCACCCAAAATGTGGTTACTCTAAGGCATCCATTATTAATTTAGCAAGCACTCTTCTGAGACAGAACAAAATTCCAGTTCCATTTATCAGCTGGTAATGGCTACCAAGGAACAATACGGCTCCTCTAAGTCCCCCACCTGCTATGGGTACAGAATGTGTTTCCGTCTAGCTGCTGTCAGTGAGGGTGACAAGGTAGAGACAAGCAGGCCACCCCACTGACATGGCTTTCCTTCTCCATTTGGAAGTCACCAGCATCACACATGCACACAAAAACATCAGAGGCGAGGTGATCCACCTTGAGGAACCCCAGCAGGAAACAGGGAGACTGAATGCTGAGCCCTGACTCATTGCTCTGCAGATGTTCACAGACATCTGCATTCCTCCACTCAGAAAGTGACCTCAAAAATTCCTCCAGGCAAAATGGGCTTCTTTCTGCAAGTGGGAGGTTTTAGTTACCTCTGCCTCGTCCTTCCCATCTGCTTCCTTCTGAAGTAACAAAGACACCTATATCTGGTTTCAAGTTAAAGGAAACCTTAGCTTGAATTGTCACCTGTAACTTTATAAAACTGAAACATGTGCTAATATGGTGGGACACACCTGTTATCTCAGCTTTTGAGGAGCTAAGGCAGGCAGGTTGCAAGTTTGAGGCCATCCTAAGCTACATGGCGGGATCCTGTCTCAAACAAACAAACAAACACTAAAACACATGGTAAGACAGTTTTCAAAAGTTTACAGGGAAGCTTGATAGTTTGTTCAAACACTGGGTCATTACCAAGGACTTTTCTAAGTACAACATATATCAAACAGTTAGCCTCGCCATCACTTTTTATCCTTACACCGATATATTTTTCTTCAAAAATCTTCTTAACATCACACACACACACACACACACACACACTTCATTATACCTCACTTCCAATAAATACAAATTTTATGATGGCTGGGACTTTTTTAAAAAAAAGTCTGAGGCATGATTAACACATGCCAACTGGCACATCTGAAGAATTTATACATATGCACTTATGAAATTATCACCACTAGCAAGATGGAGAATATGCCTGCAACTCGCAAATTTTTTGTGCCCCTGTGTAAAATTTCTTCATTTTAAAGTGCTGGGAACAACTCCTATTCAACATAGTACTGGAATTCCTAGCCAGAGCAATTAGGCAAGAGGAGGGAATAAAAGGAATACAAATAGGTAAAGAAACTGTCAAAATATCCCTACTTACAGATGATACGATCCTATACCTTAAAGACCCAAAAAACTCTACTCAAAAGCTCCTAGACACCATCAATAGCTATAGCAAGGTAGCAGGATATAAAATCAACATAGAAAAATCATTAGCATTTCTATACACTAGTAATGAACAAACTGAAAAAGAATATATGAAAACAATTCCATTTACAATAGCCTCAAAAAAATCAAATACCTAGGAGTTAATTTAACAAAGGATGTGAGTGACCTCTACAAGGAAAACTATAAACTCCTGAAGAAAGAGATTGAGGAGGACTATACAAAGTGGAGAGATCTCCCATGCTCATGGATTGGTAGAAACAGCATAGTAAATAAAAATGGCTATACTCCCAAAAGTAATCTACATGTTTAATGCAATTCCCATCAAAATCCCAATGACATTCATTAAAAAGACTGAAAAATCTACCGTTAAATTTATTTGGAAACACAAGAGGCCACGAATAGCCAAGGCAATACTCAGTCAAAAGAACAATGCAATACAACAATAAAAACAGCATGGTACTGGCACAAAAACAGACATGAAGACCAGCGGAACAGAACAGAGGACCCAGATACGAAGCCACACAACTTTAACCAACTTGTCTTTGACAAAGGAGCTAAAAATATACGATGGAGAAATAGCAGCCTCTTCAACAAAAACTGCTGGGAAAACTGGTTAGCAGTCTGCAAAAAACTGAACCTAGATCCATGTATATCACCCTATACCAAGATTAACTCAAAATGGATCAAGGTTCTTAATATCAGACCACAAACTCTAAAGTTGGTACAGGAAAGAGTAGGAAATACTCTGGAGTTAGTAGGTATAGGTAAGAACTTTCTCAACGGAACCCCAGCAGCACAGCAACTAAGAGATAGCATAGATAAATGGGATCTCATAAAACTAAAAAGCTTCTGCTCAACAAGAGAAATGGTCTCTAAACTGAAGAGAACACCCACAGAGTGGGAGAAAATATTTGCCAGCTACACATCAGACAAAGGACTGATAACCAGAATATATAGGGAACTTAAAAAACTAAATTCTCCCCAAACTAATGAACCAATAAAGAAATGGGCAAGTGAACTAAACAGAACTTTCTCAAAAGAAGAAATTCAAATGGCCAAAATACACATGAAAAAATGCTCACCATCTCTAGCCATAAAGGAAATGCAAATTAAAACCACACTAAGATTCCACCTCACCCCTGTTAGAATAGCCATCATTAGCAACACCACCAACAACAGGTGTTGGCAAGGATGCGGGGAAAAAGGAACCCTCTTACACTGTTGGTGGGAATGTAAACTAGTACAACCACTCTGGAAAAAAATTTGGAGGCTTCTTAAAAATCTAAACATCAATCTGCCATATGATCCAGCAATCCCACTCCTGGGGATATACCCAAAAGACTGTGACACAGGTTACTCCAGAGGCACCTGCACACCCATGTTTATTGCAGCACTATTCACAATAGCCAAGTTATGGAAACAGCCAAGATGCCCACTACTGACGAGTGGATTAAGAAAATGTGGTACCTATACACAATGGAATTTTATGCAGCCATGAAGAAGAACGAAATGTTATCATTCGCTGGTAAATGGATGGAATTGGAGAACATCATTCTGAGCGAGGTTAGCCAGGCTTAGAAGACCAAAAATCCTATGTTCTCCTTCATATGTGGACATTAGATCAAGGGCAAACACAACAAGGGGATTGGACTTTGAGCACATGATGAGGTGAGAGCACACAAGGGAGGGGTGAGGATAGGCAAGAAACCCAAAAAAAAAAAAACCAAGATAGCATTTGATGTCCTCAATGCAAAGGAACTAATGGAGAAACTTTAAAGCGACAGAGGCCCATAGGAGAAGTGGACCAGGAACTAGAGAAAAGGTTAGTTCGAGAAGAATTAATTTAGAAGGTAACACACATATACAGGAAAGCAATGCGAGTCAACTCCCTGTATAGCTACCCTTATCTCAACTAGCAAAAACCCTTGTTCCTTCCTGTTATTGCTTATACTCTCTCTTCAACAAAATTAGAGATAAGGGCAAAATAGTTTCTGCCCAGTAGCGAGGGGGTGGGGGGGAAAGGGAGGGGACGGGGAGAGAGGGGGATGGGGAGAGGCAGGGGGAGAAATGACCCAAACATTGTATACACATATGAATAAAAGAAATAAAAAATGAAGTTCTAGGGACAGAATCCAGGGCCTCTCCCATGCCAGGCAAATGCTCTACCCCTGAGCTACAGTCCCAATCCATCCCTGCAA